TTCCTGCTAACTGCACACATTATTCAGTAGCTGATCTTATTAATGAAGACCAATGTGTATATATAAAAAAAAAAAAAAAAAAGGCATTAAATACTTACGCATTCTTTGCATCATCCATACTTGATTACCCTCTGCATTCAATAAGACTTGCACTTTCCTCAGTCTTCCTCTTATTTCTGACATAGATTGTTTTTTTTGTTATCTTCTGTGTCCCATGCTAGTTGCATCTTAATTTGTGCCTTTGCCTTCTTTCCTTCCTTCTTGCCCATGTGAAACTTTTTATAATCTTCTTTAGGACTATGGCCATGTTTCCAGTTTTTTCGTGGGATTGCTTTCTGACTTTCAACTCATTGAAGAGTTAGGTGTTTACCCAGCCAGTCTTCTGCTACACTTCCTATCCTTTCTTTGCATTGAGACAGCTTGCTTTTGCACCCTTAATATGCCTCCATAAGGTACAACCAGCTCTCTTGATATACTTTTCCCATCAGACTTGTCTCCAAGAGGAGACAAGTCTGCTTTTCTAAAATCTGATGTCCTTATAATCTGATGCCTTCCTTCCTTACTTTCTTTAGCATCTTGAGCCCTGTCTGGTTCATGGTCATTGTCACCCAAGTTACCTTCCACCTTCATATTCTCAGCCAATTTCTCCTTATTTGTGAGTCTCTCCATCAGCTGTACCAGAAAGTCATCTCTGACACTCGAGAATTTGGTGAACTGCCTGTGCAGTTGTATTTCCCGCCAAACAGATGTCACAGAAATTATAAGTCCTTCATGAGAACCAGGTTCTGTTAGTTGGAAACTTCGGTTAGTTGTTTTAAAAAAAAACCAAACAAACCCAACAACCCTGTCCACCCCTTCCTCCTGGTTTTATGGGCTGTAGGAGACATCCACTGAGGGCCAACCTTTGGGGCAAGCATGTCACGAATTAGCCACACCCCTTCCCCAAGTACCACTCTGATCTCTTTCCCCTGCTTAATCTGCTGCTCTGCTTTCTGCCCTATCTTCCACTGTGCTGTCTGCCCCCTCCCTGTTCTGCTGTGCATATGCCACACAGGCTACTTGTGCCGTAGGATAATATCACTCTTGCTGCTGTTCCCTCTGACTTTGTTCCAGAGGCTTTAAGCCCGCCTACCTCCTGAGTTGTATTACACTTCAGAACAAGCATATGTCTCTCTTGCATATAGAGTAACACTTGGATGAGATGGCCTGTTAGGCAAATTTGCCTATCTGCTAGCCTTCTTTGAGATGTTTATTTAGCAAGCTTTTTTAAAGCCTGGCAAGATAACTGGGGATAAAAGCGCAGGTCTACCTATGAATTTTTGCTCTTCAACCTTGACCCCTGGTTCTTGCTGAATTGTCCATTTGCAGGTAAACCAAGATCAGTACTTCTTTGAAACTTAACTTCTTACTTAGGTTACAAAGACTTTCTTCTCTGGCAGGCTTGCCATTTGTTAGAGATTTTTAAAACCTTAAGACTTAGAAAATGTAAGAGTGACTTATTTCTGTTTTCAGGTAATAACAATTCTGTTAATCTTTTAGATCAGTGGTGCTTAAACTCCAGCTCACGGGCCAGATCTGGCCTATGAGGCCATATAATCCTGTCTGTGGGGCTCCCAATGGGTCCAGAAATTTGTAAGTGGGGGAGGGGTGGCAGAATTAATTGTTGCTCCACTGCTGCTAAAGTTCTGGACCTGTAGGGAGCCCTGTAGACCAGATGACATGGCCCTGTGTGCTAGATTGTGGCACATGTTGGGGCCAACATACATAGATTCATAGATGTTAGGGTCAGAAGGGACCTCTATAGATCATCGAGTCCGACCCCCTGCATAAGCAGGAAAAAGTGCTGGGTCTAGATGACCCCAGCTAGATACTCATCTAACCTCCTCTTGAAGACCCCCAGGGTAGGGGAGAGCACCACCTCCCTTGGGAGCCCGTTCCAGACCCTGGCCACTTGAACTGTGAAGAAGTTCTTCCTAATGTCCAATCTAAATCTGCTCTCTGCTAGCTTGTGGCCATTATTTCTTGTAACCCCCGGGGGCGCCTTGGTGAATAAATACTCACCAATTCCCTTCTGTGCCCCTGTGATGAACTTATAGGCAGCCACAAGGTCGCCTCTCAACCTTCTCTTGCGGAGGCTGAAAAGGTCCAGTTTCTCTAGTCTCTCCTCGTAG